TCATTGACTGTCTTCATTTAAATTTTAAAATCATATACTGTTAAAGTTCCTCAGCTAATTCAGTTGTAGACTGATTTAGGTAATTAGGTTCAAAATGAGATGACCGCAAAATGAAGGGACCACATTTTCATAATTTATATTTTTATACAGAATTATATTTGCTACTTGTATTAAACTAAGAGTTGCATGGTTGCTTGATTTGTTTTCAAACTACAATCTAGCGTCATCTATGAGAAAGTGTGGTCCTTCACAAAAATAAAACCGATATATGCTGTAGATACTTCACTAGCATGTGTTTTAGCGTGTTAGTAGCACTCTTGAAAGGTCAGGAATTGTGGCTGTTGGCTTTGCCTGCCTCTGGAAGCCGTGAATGGCTGTTTAAACCATCTCTCACCCCGTCACACCTTCACTCTTACTCTGTCTTTCTCTCATGCACTCTTGTTAACATGGGAATAACAAACTACACCTGTGGCATGATTTCTCCCTCTCAACAAAACTTCGACTTGCCGATCTCTTTAAGCCTGCGCAACAATATAATACTTTAACTTTTAAAAATTGACACCAGCTCTATGTAGAGAACTGAACCCAAATGCAACATTTAAAGGGATAGTTCACACAAAAGTGAAATTTCTGTTAGCATTTATTTACCCTCATGATGTCCTAAACCTGTATGACTGACTGACTTCTGTGAAACACAAATGGAGAAATTTAGAAGAATGTCCCAGGTGCTCTTTTCCATAACATGAAACAGTCAGACTAGGGGCTTTCAGGCTCCAAAAATAACAAAAAAGTACCATACAACTACTATAAAGTTATCATATGACTTTAGAAGACTTGGAATGTAGCACATAAGTCACAAGAGCCACTTTTATGGTACCTTTTTGTCATTTTTGGAGCTCAACAACCCCAGTCCCCATTCAGTTTCACTATATGAGAAAGAACAGCTTGAACGATCTTCAAAATATCTACTTTTGTGTTCCACTGAGTTAATAAAAAAATAAAGTCACACACATTTGGAATGACATGAGGGTGAGTAAATGATGACAGAATTGTACTTTTTAGGAGAATTACTGCTTTAAATCATAATTCAAATCACTGAAGGATGGGTAAGATACCCAGGACAGTCTAACCTTTGTAACTTGGCTTTTACTTGCTTATTGGTCGTATTTATCAGCTACATCAGATTATGATTTTGGTTGTTATATGGTGGTAAGGCACCTATAGGTCTTTTGTAAGTTTCCGTTTCTATTATTCGCACAATGACTTCCTTTTTCTCACAGGGGCATCTTTCACAGAACCTGTCCAATGAGCAGCGTCCTCCGATTTAAATAGTCACACAGCATTTCTTAGCACATCAAGTGAGAACTTTAGTTTGAATAAAGCTGCGGTTACATTTACTGTTCCGGCAAATTTTTGCGGGTGAACTCAAGTCAAATCAATAGGAAACTACATGCGAGGACGAAAATATTTCCTCATGCAGATTTTGCATCAGGTCCTGGGAATTCACCACAATGACCAACATAAAGCTGCTTGATTTGAAAGTGACTTCTATATGAGCTGTGCTTCATACATCCCTACAGTTTTGACAATGGATTTTTTCCCCCTGCAATATTTTCCAGAAATTTTCGCTAATGTGATTGCACCTTAAGAGGGTTCTGTTTTCTACATATGCACTTTTAATTAAAAGGATACTGACTGACTGGATGTGGGACCATCTACTGCTAGTACCATGTCTTTATCAACTGAATCACAGAGGACACATAAAGCCATAGTGACCATGTGAAATGCATAGACCAGTAGTACGTAATAGGATGCTTATTTGAGTGGGAAGTGTTTGTCATCGGGTATGGAGTGCCTTGGCAAGAAGCTTGTGCCCTGAGACCTGCTTTGAAAGCGTGTGCACCTTGTATTAAGCTTGGCTTTATGCATCTCTCATGAATGGTCCCATCCATCAGTCATTACCCCTTTTCTTCTGAGTATTTATCTCTTCTCATTGTTCCTCTCTTGTCCCTCTTTTGCACTCTCACTCATTCAGGTTGATAAGTTGGATGCTTCTGAGTCTTTGAGGAAAGAGGAAGAACAGCTCACAGAGGCACAACCCATTGTCTATGGTAGGACCCTTGCACTGTCTCTGCATCTAAGAAGGAAAAACTTTTTATATCTCCACTACAAATTATTCATCAAGCAATATAGTATTTATTTGGCTAATACAGATATCTAGAGGCCACTTATTTTATTAATTTATTTTATTTTAGGTTTTATTTAAAATAATTGTTTTAACAAATTTTGCTTTTGTGTGTATTTTTTATTTTTTTTTAAATCCAATTTGTTTTGCGTTTTTGATTTTTTTTGTTTAATGCTAGCAAGTATGAATGGAATTTATATTTAATTCACATATATAATGTAATATTTTCACAAAATGTTTTGCTATAGCTTCAAAATAACTAATATGTCGCAATATATTAGTTTATCATGTTACCTTTTTTTGTTCGTTTTATTTTATTATTTTATTTTAAATAATTTTTGTTTAACGCTAAAGTATGAGAGGAATTTATATTTAATTCACATTTAATTTGTAATTTTCACTCTAAAATATTTGCAGTAACCTCAAAATACCAAATATGCCTGATATTGGCTTATCACGTTAGATTTTTTTTTGTTTTTTTGTTATGGTTTTATTTTTGTAGTTTTGTGATTGTTTTTTTTTTCTTTCTTTTTTTTCGTTTAGTTCTAGCAAGTATGAAAGGAATTGATATTTAATTATATAATATAGTTAATGTAATATTTTCACTCAAATATATTTCCAGTAACTTCAAAATACCGAATGTGCCCAATATATTGGTCTACCACAGTTACAAATGCCGAGTAGCCTTATGTAAAATAATTTACAGTTGCATTCAAAACCCATTAAATGAGATGAATTACCTGCCGTAGGTAGTTTTTGTATTAATGCTATTATTTTTCCCAGGCACACCCCAACTGATGCTCACTGCAGGCCCCAATGTCGCAGTCCCCCCACAGCAGCCTTACGGTTACGGCTACCCCACGGCGACTGGCTACGGCCAACCCGCACAGCCAGGCTTCGGCTACGGCATGTAAAGCCCTCCTGCCCACAGCTGTCCATCCATCTCTCCATAAGTTCCTTACTAGCTTATTGTGATCTACTCACAAGGTTATAAAAAGTAAAAAAAAAAGTTTTAAATTATTTTCCTTAAAATGCAATGAAGGACTTCATTTTTATTTGTGTTGTCAAAGAAAATAATCGGACCACATTTTTGTTATTTCACATTCCATATTTAAGGCTACTTCTATCACAATTTTTTTTTTTTTGGTGAGCTGAATTTTTTTAAGGGGGCATGGGTTGTGTATGTAAGTGGAGTGTCGAGAAGAGCAATTAACCTTAAAATATGTCGTGAAGCATCTGATTTGCACTCTGTTGTGAGAGGAAACTAATGTAAAATCTCTTAATTTTGGTGTATTGTATGTGAAGAGCTTACACTGTTAGTCTGTTTAATGCATTTCATTATTGTATATTCTGAAAAAGGTTAAACAATATTTGAACATGAACGTATGCATCCATGGGTACATTTAGCTAACACTAAGTAATAATCTGATATTCTACACAAATATGTAGCTGTATGGAAATTTTAAGCGCATACAGACATGAATATAGTAAATGATTTTAATCCCTTAGCCTAAACGGGTTTCCCAGATCGACCTCCTAGTTGTTAACATCTCATTCACTCCATGTGTAACAGGTGACCTTTCCTTGTATTGAATACAGTGCTCTTTCTTGTGTGAATCCATTTCCATAAATGAGCAAGGGATGCATCGATTCTTCTGACTTCTGTTTACTCATCCAATTCTTTGTATTGAGGTTTGTGTGTGCCAGGTGTCGTGCTGTTCTTGCTCACTATTCGGAGTGTACAGAAGAATGAATACACAAATGGAGACCAATGCTTTGTCCACCTGTAAGATTTGTGTGCGATCTGCAGATTCAGAAAACGGGAATAAATTCACAGGATTGTGATTATTTTGGTGGCTTGATTGTAAATTGGCAAAGATTAAAATGAAACGCATCCATTCTCCATCATCTTGCCACTTAATTTTTTTCACAGATCATGCAGCAGCCATTAAAGGTGCGCACAGACTTTTTTTTTCTATGTTGTGCTGGCCAATATTGCAGTTATCTTGGAAGAAATTGAAGAAATGTGTAGTTAGCATAATTGATTTTATCCTATGAACAAATAACATTCAGCTGGTCATGTGATCTCAACATGGTGGCCCCCATGAAGCGACCCCCTCCATGTACAATAAATCACCATTTACTGGGCTAGTGATGCCAGTACTGTTATTTAAAAAAATTATACACTAATATTAATTTAATCTAAAACTTAATGAGGGAAAATTGTTGAGTCTATAAATTTTGCAGAAATGTATTACCGGATTTTTGTATATATACACACTGCTTATTTGTATCAATCTATAAGAGAGAAGCCTGTAAAAAATATTTAAAATTCAAAACACATTTTAGACGTCTATAAATAGTCAAAGTGAAAAGGGACATGAACTTCCTTCGGTGTGCGCTAGGAAATCATGGAAAGTCGGATATTCTGATCCCGGATACGCAGATGGTAGAATAAAAGACTTTCTGGGTCTTCCTAAAATAGCCTTTCTATTTTCGTCTCGTTAATATTAATTTTTTTTAAAAAGACCCGCAAGCCATACTGCGAAGCTGCTGTGCGACATCCTAAATTAATACATTTTAATACAAATTTTATATAATATTGAGAGCTTGGCGAAAATGATTTCAGGCACTCTAAAACTCGCTGAGGTTGTAGCGAGAGAACAGATGGCAGCGGTTGTCTCGTGGGCTTTTATTTTGAAATGACTGCACTGCTCTACAGCTGAACGGGAGTCATTTCCTGTGGCTGTTGTCGCTTATTGCTGCTGTCAGGACGGAAGAGTGGTTTCAGGTATTCTGTGTCCCTTCACTTTACCTCTACCTCTGTTAGGACACTTTTCACTCTTTTTAGCCTAAGAGTATGTAAACATCACTATGTAGTCGATGATGAGTCTCAAATCAAGTATAAACAGCAATAGGGGACTCAAAGCTAACCTAGACAGCTAATTCTTGCCGGTTCATCACCCACATGGGCTGTTTGAAATGAATATAACCTGTAAATGGAATCTGAAAATGGTATTTTGTTTATGTAAAATAATTGGTAATTACCCAACAAGTGTTAGAAGGTCTTGTGTACTATAACCCTACTTAATCAGTTGGTTTATCTTTTGTTATTAAGCTATAGCTTAGGTTAGCTTAAGTGCTAGTTAAAGGTCCTAGTACAACCAGTACAGGTGATCAGAGTACTGTGATGGAAATACATGAATATACTGGTACTAGAATACATTATATATATATTGTCAGTTTTATTGATTTGAATGCTTTTTGTTATTTTCTTATATTTCTTTTGTTGTTTTATATATATATTTTTAAATCAGCATTTCTTACATTTATTCCCCAAAGACTAACTGCTAATCCACTCAAGGTTTTCTTGAGAGGACAAACCACCATCAACACTTCCAAGGTTTGATTTGGGATGTTTGTCTGCCCTCAGCAAACTTACCAAGGCCTCAGTGAGTAATGCTTTCACTGCTGTCAGTTCAGATAACATCACAGCCGGGGTTGTTTCTGTGTGCAGGTGTCTGAACTGTAAACAGTAGTGGGAGATGGCTGCAAATGGAGCAGAATGTGAACAGCCACAGAAGAGACTAGGGCCTAAAGACAAGCAGAATGGCAGTTCTACAGGTTTGTTAAGCTGATTTAATCAATTAAACCAGGACCAGAGATAAAACGTCCTGTGGAGATAAACGGATATGCCCTAGTCACTAATAGATTGATCTATCTGCATTGATCTTTAAGGAATAATTTAGCCAAAAATGAAAATTAGCTGAAAATGGTCTCATCCTCAGAGGCCATATGAGCTAAAGATGAGTTTTTCTTCATCAGAACAGATTTGGAGAAATGTAGCATTCCATCACTTGCTCACCAGTGGATCCTCTGCGTGTTGTGTTAAAAATATAATTGAACATATTTTAAAAGCTTGTGGATTGTACCCACAGATTCATCTCTGAGAGAGAGAAAGCAGCAGGACAGGGAAGAGTGTCTTTCTTTAGTGCTGTGGAAGAGGCCTTTTACCACACTACAGTATTTCTGCATAGAAACCATTATTACCCTGAAAGAATGGACGTGGAAGTAAGCGATCACATTTTTTTATTGCACACATAATTCTAAGTGCCTTTTATTGATAGTTTATGGAAAGTTTAACCAAATTATTTGCACCTGTCCTTGTATGGGGAAATTACATTCCTATTTATGCTTAAAAGGGTCCTATTATGCTCTTTTAAAAGTCTTGATTTTGTTTTGGGGGTGTACTAGAACAGGCTCTCATACTAGGCTGTTCGAAAAACACATAATTTTTCACATATTTTGCATTATTACAACACCTCTCTCCCCAGTCTGGCATGAACGCCTCGAATAGTTCCTGTATCAAATGAAGGCCCGCCTTCTGAAATACGAAATGTGCTGTGATTGGTTAGCTGGGCCAGTGTGTGCTGTGATTGGTTAGCTGGGCCAGTGTGTGTTGTGATTGGCAGCACTCGGCACCTGGTCGGGGAAATGTCACGCTCCTTACCATAGCCACCTGCGAGCTTCAGTGCAAATATTGCTCAATATCAAATCAGTTTGAGTGCGATTTAAACCCGGATGATTGTAACCACTCTAAGTTCGTCTGCCTTGGGAAAGCTAGCGTGTCTCTGACATAGTGATAACACTCGTTGCCTTCTATAGTGCAGCTCAACCAGGTCTCGTCCCATTCGTCGATATTTGTGATATCACAAATCCCGGAAAATATGCGTTGTAGTCCAAACGAGTCGTTCGTTGTAGTTTTTGAAAAGTGATTTCTGTTAAATAAAATATCTCCTTTTGAATTGGACTTTGAGCTTTGTAACTTTGCAGATCTTTTTTATGCTCAAACAGCAACATTACAGACTAACTCAAGTTGGAAATGTGAAAAAGCATAATAGGACCCCTTTAAAAAGTGAAAATGTCACCAAGTGATATATTTACAGGTATCATTCAGGGTCTTTCCTGAGGGAACTGAATGCATTTACACTACCGTTCAAAATATATATGTGTATATATATGTATGTATGTGTGTGTGTGTGTGTGTATATATATATATATATATATATATATATATATATATATATATATATATATATATATATATATATATATATATATATATATATATATATATATATATATATATATATATATATATATATATATATATATATATATATATATATATATATATATATATATATATATATATATATATATATATATATATATATATATATATATATATATATATATATATATATATATATATATATATATATATATATATATATATATATATATGTATGTGTATGTATTTTTTTTGGTCTTGAAAGAAATTCATACTTTTATTTAGCAAGGATGCATTAAATTGATGAAAAATGACACTAAAACATTTATAATGTTTAATAATAATTATAATAATAAATAAAATAAAAATAAACCGTTAATAACTGTTTTCAACATTGATAATAATAAGAAATGTTTCTTGAGCAAATCAGCATATTAGAATTATATTGAAGACTGGAGTAATGATGCTGAAAATTTAACTTTGCCATCACAGGAATAAATTACATTTGAAAATACATTGAATAGAATAATTATTTTAAATTGCTATATATATTTTATATTTTTTAACAGGCTTTGGCAGAGAAGAGGTGTGGTATGTTTGACCGTAGTCCTAGTTTCACTTTTCTCAATGGCTTACTCAATAGAAGGAGAACATCAACAGGTGAGCACAGGGGCTTCTACAATATTTACCTACTGCTTTGATCTCCATTTTATAGAATTGTTGTATTGTTAATGTAATTGAATTATTGTAATATTCCTTTAGGTCAGTTTCTTTCTAAAGCTTCTGTAAGGTAGTAATGTAGTTAGTATGTTTTTATTCACATGCTTTAGTAGAGAAATTATCACTCTGAAGTGTCTTGATTGTTGATGAACTTAGTGTTTGTATTGTTTATAGTATGTACAGTACCTGGAGAAGAAGTTCCTGTGGTGCGCCTACTGGGTAGGCCTGGGTATTTTGTCTTCGGTCGGTCTTGGCACTGGACTGCACACTTTCCTTCTGTACCTGGTGAGAATTCTTATACTGGACTACTGCATATATGCATGTATATGTGTGCCAAACGTTTAATCAACTTTTAGGAGTCTACTAGCATATCTGTTACCTCAGTGGTTACAAACATGGTCTGAAAAACATCCCATGGGGTCTTTACATACAGTACAGGCAGGTATTCTCCTATATTAACTCTCTGGGGCCGTCTGTAAAAAAGGGAAGTGTATGTGTGGTCGATGTTCCACTGAAGTATATTAATAGTGACAGTGAAAGCATGTGCTTCTCCACAGCAGATCTCGTAATCAGAACCTTTCACTAGTTTCCACTGACTCAGACTGGACTGTGAGACCGTGGTCAGTAGTATCCACTTCCACTAGCTGTGGCGAAAGTCACACCTCTCCTTTGTCACCAGAGAATTCTGGTACTTTGTGCTCAGTTTGTTTTCCATGGGTGGCATTGTGAAAGAATGGGATGTGAAAGTGCAAATACGCACAATGTTTCACCACCAGACTTTTGTACAAAGATGAGCATTTTTCACACATCAAACTCAATTTTTATCTTTTTGAATTTGTAAAGGACAAAAACTATAGAGAAAAAAGCACACACAAAATAATTAATTTTTAACTTTCATAAGTAATGATAACTTTATTTTTAGGTTTATGCACCTAACACTTAATATAAAGTCAGTATTTTACAGATAATATTTTAATATTATTTAGTAGAATGACTATAAAAGCCAATAATTGAATTTACTGAATAACATAGTCTTGCATAGTCTACAGTTCGAAAGTTTGGAGTTTGTAAAATAAAAAAATAAAAAGCTTTTGAAAAGTCTCTTATGCCCCCCGATTGTAATAGTTGTTTTATTAGATTTTAAAATAACTTTTCTATTTAATATATTTTCAAATGTAATTTATCCCTATAATGCCAAAGCTGAATCTTCAGCATCATTACTCCAGTCTTCAGTGTCACATGATCCTTCAGAAATCATTCTAATATGCTGATTTGCTGCCCAAGAAACATTTCATGTTATCAATGTTGAAAACAGTTGCGCTGCTTAATATTTTTGTGGAAACTGATACTTTTTTTCAGGATTCTTAATTAATGGAAAGTTCAACAGAACAGCATTTATTTGAAATACTTTTTTTGTAACGTTATAAATTCCTTTACTGTCACTTTTGATCAATTTAATGCATCCTTGATGAATAAAAACGTTCAGTAATTTTTGGTGGGTCTTTCGCATAAAAAAACCCCTGTTTTAAACATTAATATAAGGAAACGCCTAACTTAAGGAAACCAGCCTGTCATTCTCATCATCTCTTCAGAAATCATTCTAATATGCTGATTTGCTGCCCAAGAAACATTTCATCTTATCAATGTTGAAAACCGTTGCGCTGCTTAATATTTTTGTGGAAACTGATACTTTTTTTCAGGATTCTTAATTAATGGAAAGTTCAACAGAACAGCATTTATTTGAAATAATTTTTTTGTAACGTTATAAATTCCTTTACTGTCACTTTTGATCAATTTAATGCATCCTTGATGAATAAAAACGTTCAGTAATTTTTGGTGGGTCTTTCGCATAAAAAAACCCTGTTTTAAACATTAATATAAGGAAACGCCTAACTTAAGGAAACCAGCCTGTCATTCTCATCATCTGCATCTCATGATTGAGTTTGCGAAGTGGCTTGTGTCAGGTTTCAGTGCCTGGGAAATGAACTCAATTGCAGTGAGTAACCAGATAAAAGAGTCGCTGTATCAGGCTCTTTACTGTGACACTGTCATGAGCTCATTTCTCTGAAAGTGACTAAAAAGTGGTCCTGCCTGACTGACATCACCTCCGCCTGTAAAGATCCCAACAGTCTGCAGAGTAACTGAAGATCAATATTTTGACTGGGTTTAGGTTTAACAGGCTTTTTAGTGCAGGTTTTGGATATCTTGTTGCTTTATGGTCATAATAAAGCAGCTTTTGAAGTGAGAAAATAAAGGTTTCTGGACCACTTGTTGCATCTGTGTAATATTTTCTTCTGGATTAAGTTTGATTTGAATGGATCCGTTCACTAAATGGTACCACCTGAATCATTCTTGCCGCCTCCCGGTGAGCAAGGTTAATCAGATGTTAAAAATGCTAGACATGGTAGATTGTCCAGTCTCCTCTCCCACGGACTGACCGACCGTGGGAATGAATGACATCAATGTCTGTTTTCACTTAGCAAATGAATTGTCATTCAGTAGGTGTTGCGGGTTTTTCCATCGCACTGCATTGAGGTCACAAGCTTTTTGCCATTGCATTGAATCCCAAGTGCTTTTGTGGTAGTTTATGTACTTGGTCAACGAACAATTGTTTATTTTACTTGTGGTGTACTAGTCTAAAAAATGTATCAAGCTGTGCATGTGACACAGCTCATGGAAAAAAAATGTTCATGCTCACATGAAGTATTATTTTAGTCTGTAAACATGTGATTGCGTCATTTCCTCCAGGGTCCACACATAGCTTCTGTCACCCTGGCTGCATATGAATGTGGCTCTGTGAATTTCCCCGAGCCGCCCTACCCAGCCCAGATAGTGTGTCCAGAGGAGGAGGTCCTGCAGGAGAGCATCTCACTATGGACCATCATGTCGAAGGTTCGCCTGGAGGCTTGCATGTGGGTGAGTGTTTTCACAGCGCAGTCTTTCCCCATGAAGTACTAAAGCTGCTCACTTAAGGCACTCTCGAAAATCAGAACTCATGCAAAGTGCAAAAAGCGATCACACTAGATTTTGTGGACATATTTCAGACCCTGCAACAAGTACGATGTCACCACCTGTGTGTGTATGTGTATGTGTGTATATATATATAAAATTAAAACGTTAAAATAATTTATTGAAATATGTATAATAATTTAAATGTATGTAAAAATATTTTACAATTTACAGGAGAATATATTTAAAATATAACATCTTTGTAATATAATACAATGTTTATAATTTATAAAAGTGGATATTTTATTTTAAAATGTTGAAAAATTTAATATTTGATATATTATAATAAATTGTATTATTTTGTAAGTGTATATTCATAATTTATTGTATAAAAGTATTATAATATTATTATTTGAATATAATTACAGAAAGTGTGTGTATACAATTCATTGTTTATTTATATATAATAAATGATTTATTTACAATATAATATTATTAATTTGGAACATGGTTATAATATACAAATACTGCATTTATAATAAATGTAATTATAATTAATAAAAGTATATATATAACTTATATATAACATTATTTTAAAATGTTAACATGCAGGGTGCAGGCACAGCTATTGGAGAGCTGCCTCCTTACTTCATGGCACGGGCGGCACGGCTGTCTGGAGCAGATCCTGATGATGAAGATTATGAGGAATTTGAGGAAATGCTGGAGCAGGCACAGAGTGCACAGGTCTGCATCTCATCTCATTCTGGACCCACATGTCCAAACCTTCACCTTCATACAGACAGCAGCTCCTTTTGATCTTCATCAGGGGCTCCGGTAGATGTTCAAAGCTTAACTAACCATTTCCTTCCAGTGGTCATGCCTTTATGAAGCCGACAGTGATGCCCCCCCATGAAGCAGCAGATACTGTATCCTGTTAGAGGGAGGTGTCCCAGTGTCTCATTCTCATGAGCCCTCACCACTGTGGTTCACTTAATGCGGGTCACATGAATTCTTGGAAGGGCTCTCCCCTGACTTCCAGTAAACCCTTTGAGCAGAGGGTGACTCAGAGGCAGAGCTTCCCTTTAATCACGGCCTCTTGGTGTCTTAAGTGGACCCCACATGGCCTGCGCCTTCACACAAAGCTTTTTAATGGGAGGGCTTTAATATGGTGCATTGCACCTCAGCGTTTAGTGATTAATCAGCAAAAATGTCACCCTTTTTTTTTGCACAATTGTACACAAGTAATTATTTTAAATAACAATTTTTTTTTGCATATTATTGAAATTTTTCTTTGTAATTTTGCCTTATAATATTGCACAGTAACTGAAAGTTGACTTCAGAAATTGTTCTACTGAAACAATAAACAATAAATACATTTTTTAATATAAACAATGAATGATTATAATGCATTATAGTAATGATTTTTATTTTTAATGTATAAAATTGATGTAGTTTTAGATTTTAAATAAACTATTAGTTCATACAATATAAAGTCCGATTCATATAGCAGTATTTTTAGATTTTTTTTTTTTTAGTTTTTTTTTAAACCTAAAAAATGTTGAAATTGTCCATTTTCTTACAGGATTTTGCAACAAGAGCCAAGCTTGCAGTGCAAAACATGGTGCAGAAAGTGGGATTTTTTGGAATTCTAGCTTGTGCCTCTGTAAGTAACATTCTTGAAGATTTTTTCCTTTTTATCTCATATTTCCGATGATTTTCCTCACAATACTGAGATATTAACACAGAAATGTGAGATATACTCTTGCATTTCTGAGAAGGAAAGTCTGAATTGTGAGATATAAACTTGCAGTTAACTTTATTTCATGTGGAAACAAAAAACAAATGCAAAATGTAAAAAATAAAAAGTCATAAATGAGAGAAGTTGCAATTTATGTTTTTATGTGTATATATTATATACTTGGCTGCTAAATATAAAATCTTTCAAGAGCCATTAATGCAGTGTCTCTTCATTTACTTCCCTCTATCATGCTTATTTTTGTCATTACGTATTTCCCATTTAAGTGGTTTACAGTAGCTTATCCAGTGAATGTGTTTGTTGTGAATAAGCAGTTGATGTTCTGTGTTCACTGGGTGTAATGTAAGAATAGTTGATAGTCATGTAATGGAAGAACAGTTCTGAGTTTCCCATGTGTTTTCCAGTATAGTATCTTTCAGTGCTTACCAATGCTTACAATGTTTCTCAGATCCCAAATCCCTTGTTTGACCTGGCTGGAATCACCTGCGGTCATTTCCTGATTCCATTTTGGACCTTCTTTGGAGCGACTCTCATTGGAAAGGCCATTATTAAGATGCACATTCAGGTACAAAAACAAATGCCTCTTACACATTTGTTAAGCACTTCCAAACAAAAGTGTTTTGTCTTAACTAATGATGATTCTCATAAATGTCAAAGTAATTTTTCAGTTGGCCAGTGCCATTAGATCATCAAAGACACACCTTTGCATGTACCTCCCCTGCGTTTTGAATGTTAACTCGGCAGATTCTAGACAGCGGTGCATCTGATGTCTTCAGATCTGCTTATTTCATCCAGATGATCAAATCATGAGCATGAGCGAGTCCGTGATCTCACCGGGTGTCACATGTCTCATCACGTCTCACTGTCTCCTAAAGACACTGTCTGCCCCCCACTAAACACAGCCGCTGCCTTGAGGAACATGCCGTTGATTCATTGTCTAACAATGTTTATCTGCTTTTTGCTTCTCCACAGAAACTGTTTGTTATCATAACATTCAGCAAGCACATAGTGGAGCAGATGGTCTCTCTGATCGGGTGAGTAATGACACCAGCGTGAGATGAATATGGAAACCCAGTGTAAACGATGGTAAACATTATAGCAAATAAACAAGGACTACATGAATCAAGAACATGAAATTTATAGTAGTTGTGCACATTCTCAAGATGGATTTGTTCACTTTCGGCTTGAAGAGTGACCGTTCAAAATGCTTCTTAGACATATAAGAATAAATGTATTATTAATCCTTTACTTTTGCACAGTGAATAAAACATTTGAGTGAAAAAATGTGACCCTGGACCACAAAACCAGTAATTTTTTGAAATGAAGTTCTTAGCAATGCATATTACTAATCAAAAATTAAGTTTTGATATATTTACAGTAGGAAATCTACAAAATATCTTCATGGAACATGATCTTTACTTAATATCCTAATGATTTTTGGCATAAAAGAAAAATGTTTGACCCATACAATGTATTTTTGGCTATTGCTACAAATATACCCAAGCGACTTAAGACTGGTTTTGTGTGCTCCGATTGGCCGAATTCCTCAAGCGTGTGACGGAAATGTTACGTCCCTTACCATATTGTACCATATACATATGACGACCCCGGGCTGGACTCCGCTTTGTCCACGGTGAAAGCCGATCCAGCGATCAACAGCGCGAGGTTGAAGTATTTCCTCAGCGACCAGCACAGATCAGCTCTACGCATGAATGTAGGTATGTGGGGGCGTGTTAGAACGAGCAGTTTTAGGTAGGCGTGGTTGACTCTTAACTTTTATAAAGAATATCTCTTTGGTTTTGAGACTTTAGTGTTTGCAACTTTACAGATCTTCTTTATGCACCAAGAGCTTGTAACACTCCAAAGAGAAAGGAAAAATTGAAATCGCATCATATGACCCCTTTAAAGTAATACTTTTATCCAGCAATGATGCATTAAAGTGGACAAAAATGACAGTAATCACATTTATAATGTTATAAAAAACTAATTCATCAAAGAATCCTTAAAAAATGTGTTAAAAAATATTAAGCAGCACAGCTGTTTTCAACATTGATAATAATAAGAATTGTTTCTTGTGCAGCATATTAGAATGATTTCTGAAGGATCATGTGACACTGAAGACTGGAGTAATGATGCTGAAAATTTCAGCTTATTTTAAAATCTATTAAAATATAAATCGTCTCTTTTAAATTGTATTAATATTACCATTTTTGCATTTTTGATAAACTAAATCCAGCCTTGGTGAGAATATATACAGTGGGTACGGAAAGTATTCAGACCCCCTTACATTTTTAATATATTTTAAAAAAATGTTTATTCTCATTCAATTTATTTCTCACATTTAATTTATTTAGAAACCTTTTTCTTGATTCTAAAAGTATTAAAGGCTAACTTAATTTGACACAAAAATCTTAAGTAATTCAGATTTTTTTTCAATAATTTTTTGGTTTAAAATATAAAAAATTAAACAAATAATTATATTTACTTTTTTAATGGCATTTCATAATTTTTGAAATTTAATGTGGTCCAGAAATCTTCATTATGTTTTTTTTAATCATATTTCTTCATTCTAAAAATATGAAAGAAAAATTGAATATGGCCCCAAATCTTAATTTAGTCATTCAGATTTGTAAAAATAATATTTCTGGAATTTCTTGATGACATATTTATGAAAATATTAGACAAATTTAATATGGCCCAAAAATCTTGATATATATATATATATATATATATATATTCTAAAAATATGAATGAAATGTAATGTGGCCCAAACATCTTCACAGAGTAATTCAGATTTAAATGTTTTTCAATAATTATATATTTATATATATATAATTTTTTGTTCTCTCTGCAGGGTGAAAGCTGGCTCTCGTGGGTATTTGAGAAGGTGGTGCTGGTCATGGTGTGCTATTTTATTCTGTCCATTATTAACTCCATGGCACAGAGCTATGCCAAGCGTCTCCAGCAGAAGAAGTACTCGGAGGAGAAAACTAAATGACGGACTCGCAGAAAAACATCTCACGCTCCTGTTTTGGAACCTACAAAATATCGAAGCTAAAACTACATGAGCACTGATTTATGTGCGCTTCTGTATGTTAACGTTCATTCAGATCCCTTTAGTTACGTGGAGTCCCTCTTCATTTGTCTGCAGTGTGCTCGGCTGTTTAAAATCAGATTTAACATTTAGAGATTTGTCTTTACGGAACTAAGGCAGTCTAGCTAACAGGCTGTGTGGGGTCATATGTTGCAATGCCTTATGCAACATTTGGAGGTCATGCTTCCATTGAAGTGAATACAGTTCTTAGATTTATTTAATTTCTAACATACAGGTATGGATGGGCAGGGGCTGTTTTGTGATTGGAATTTTCAGGGATAGTTTTTTTTTTAATCAAAATTGATGTCATTTTGTATTTCTTTAACTGTTTGAAGAGGATAGCAATATGAACTCAGATCATCGTGGTTTTTAAATCGTTTGCACATCTTGTAAAATAATGTTTTGACTATGCGCACATGATGTTTATTCTCCGGTCTTAAACCAAAATGTCACAAACTAGTGGATGTAACTTTTAACCCAAGAAAATTAAGACGTAATATTTGCATATGTTTGTGCATTTTGACATTGAACTAAAACCATAAGTTGATCCATACTTTCCTCTTATTTCGGGCTGAAGTATTTGTGTAGCTAATAATGATTTCTCTCAAAACTATTGTTGCATAATTTGTTTGACATTAAATTCATTAATACATCTGCTGTGTTACATTTGCATTTTACGTAAAAAAAAAATACATAATGAAAAATCAGATCTCTGGGTTCAGACCAATGAATGACAGAAGTTGGAGGATGTGGCCTAAAAGAAGGTATGTGGAAGATATGTCTGTCTGTCTATTGTTCCGTCTCATAAACTTTCAGAAGTGTCCTGTTTCAGTGTGTTGTGCTCATTCAGTAGTAAGTGTCCCATTCTGTCAGGTAGCTTATCAGACTGGTGTTGGCTGTAAGTCATATGGCAAGATCAGTCTAATAGGCTGCCTGAAATTTTGGGCTTTGTCACCATATGCATATTTTGAGGCTGAATTTTGTGCTAGAAATGTTCAGCTGAAATATTTACTAACTAATGAATGTGTTCTCCAGTGTACAATGGATCTGAGTATCCAAAGGCTTTTTTCCCCCAGTTTACTGAAGCAGATCATATGTGCACCTGTATTTAACTGAAACATCTTGCTTTTGTTTTGAAACTAACTGTTGATTTGTTGTCTAGGTCTATTAGTCTGTAAGTCTTATTCTGGTTGTCATTTTCTCATTAAATTCAGTTGTTTATTTAAGAGAATAAATGGAGGACTTGAACAGGAAGACTTGATCAGGAGGACTTGAACAGGCGGACTTGATTAGGAGGACTTGAACAGGCGGACTTGATCAGGAGGACTTGAACAGGAGGACTTGAACAGGAGGACTTGATCAGGAGGACTTGATCAGGAGGACTTGAACAGGCGGACTTGATCAGGAGGACTTGAACAGGAGGACTTGAACAGGCGGACTTGATCAGGAGGACTTGAACAGGCGGACTTGATCAGGCGGATTGAGCGGGGTTATAGTCGTTAAGTGAATATTTTACTGTAAATATATGTAACAATATTTCATAAATTTTGTTAAACAGATAACGAAAAGGGGAATTATAATAGCGAATTATTCATCAACTTTATGCAAAGGGTGTTTAGAGCTTGTTAAATGAGTCGAGTGTGAAGTTTATTATGAGTAGATAGTCATATTCGACTGACACGGTTACATCATGAATGCCGAGACTATCATCGCCAAAAACTGACATGTGACATATTGAGATGAATCAAGAACAGACTGTCATTGACATAGATATCCACTTTTCAATATCCAACCAACTCAGTGATATGTAATCATAAATATCAGAGAAAAGAGAAAATGACAGAAAAATTCACAAAAATATATACAAAAAACAGGTACTAAAACGCAATTGTAATAGGTACAGTAATCAGTCATTTTTAAACAATAAACCTCAATACTAACAACGAAAAAAAACAGCAATCATTTGTAAGGTAATCAAATATACTGTATACAGGTGCATCTCAATAAATTAGAATGTCGTGG